GAAGGAATCCCCGGAGCGCCCGACAGCTCCGAGAAGAAAAGCTTTCGGTTCGGAAACGCTGCTCCAGCGAAGCCCGGTTTTTAATAAAAATCTGTTGTAAGTGAGCTACGCCTACACTATTTCTAATATAGCTTTTATTTAAATATAGTAATTTTATGAGGACCTTATAATAATTATTTGGGCTATTATTATGAGTTATATAAGTGTCGTTGTAATATCTTTTTAACCACTCGCGGTACGGGGAATCTGGTTTGGAGGGCCGCTTGGGTTGTTGGATTCAGAAGTGCTATATGACAAAAAGATCCTGCCCTCCGGTGTTTCATGTCTGGTCCCTGTCTGTACATAATGGGTGAAGAGTATTGTTTAACGCTTATATAATAGTAATAATAGCTAGACTATTAATTAGTCTCGGTGAATATTAGACTAAACTCTAGTGGTAATGATACTAGGTTTTGTCGAAGGAAAATTGTTTTAAAGTAAACGAAGCGTTGTCCGAGTACCGAGTCACCACCTTATCAGGTGAGTGCATAGTCTCTTTCATGAACATGATTTTAATACAATTATTGATTGAAGTATTAAATATATGTTTATGTGCGAGTTATTTGATGTTGCCTGAAATACGTGTTAAAGAACATACCTGATTATAAATGATGATTTAGGATAAAGAGTAAACCTAAATTAATTATGAGGTATATTGGGCAGTATCTTCTTACGAGTACGAGTGAGTTATACTCAGAGAATAGAACTTTAATATATGTCATTGATCCGGGAGGATGGATTAGACATAGTCATTGTCCCTAGTCCGAGAGTATGGATTAGATATAGTCAACTGTCATTAATCCGGGAGTATGGATTAAGACATAGTCAGTTGTCCTTAGTCCGGGAGTATGGATAGGATAGTTATTCGTCATTAATCCGGGAGTATGGGTTAATACATAGTCAGTTGTCCTTAGTCTGGGAGTATGGATAGGACATAGTTATTCATCATTAATCCAGGAGTATGGATTTAGACATAGACATTTGTCCCTAATCTGAGAGTATGGAATGGGCACAATTATTGATCCGAGAGCATGGATTAGATCCGGGAATAAGAGGTAAAATTTAAGGTCCGAGAGTATGGATAGTCTCATTGTGAGGATTGACGGGGTGGGGTAAGAGTTGATTATATATATGAGGAAATTGTATATTTTGTGAAATCTG